ATAGGAAATGAGATATTTCCAAAAAAAGCGCAAAAAACCGATTTTTGTGACCTTTGACCTTGAAATTTAATAGTTGCTTACACCCTACCGTATGTAGGTTTTGATACAACTTTAAGGGTGTCAATATACAAGTATTTACAGACTTACAGCTGGGTATCTCGAATTCTGAGGTGAACTTACTATAATGACTGGACTAATAGATTTCTAGAAAGGACCGTTACATTATATAAGCCCGGCTTCCCGACACAAGAGGGCAGCTCAGAAAGTGATTCGAGCGGCTAAACAAGAAATTCAAATAGTAGAAATGAATTAAGCGTTAGTTGCTAAGTGTTGTAAATAAATTAGTTTGTGATTAGTGAAATATTGTTGGAAATAAATTTGTTTAAGACAGTTAATTCTTTAATTTGTCACAACTGGTGTCAGAAGTGGTATTTGTAAAATAAATCTGTGAGCGCTCTGTATTGTGGTGAAATTGACTATAAGACTTATTTTTTGTTCGCGCAGAGAGACTGGTGATTCGTTGTGTTTCGCGAAGTGGACCGTACCGGACTACGGTAGACGGACTGATGTAGACTTGTGAAAGTAAATAAATGTTTAGGATTCGAATAAAATAAGTTGACATATACAGTTTTGTAGAAAATATACTATAAGAAACAAAATGTATTCGAAGAAAGTGCGTCTAAAGGACTTGAAAGTCACCGAATTGAAGCAAGAATTGGAGGAAAGGGAGCTATATTGTTCTGGAAAGAAATCAGTACTCCAGAAGAGACTGTGGGAAAACTTGACTGAATCAAGAGAAGATCCCGAAACATATTTATTAGAAGTTTCTGGGGGTGATTTGAGTTCAAAAATGAGCAAACTCGATGAGAATACCAAATTGCTGAAAGATGAACTTCAACAAGATTCGAAGTGCCTGGAGGAGAAGCTTCTGGAAAATTCGAATGGTTTGGAAGACAAGATTCCAATGGCTTGAAGGAAAAACTCCTAGAAAATGCAGAAAATTTAAAGAAAGAATTTTGTTGTGTGGCGAGTCTACTCGAAGAAAGGGTAGGAACCAGACAGAGATAGACAAAATCAGGAAGGAAATGAATACGGAAGTAGAGGAAATCAAAGGCGGAGTTCAGACAGAAATCAGCAAGATGAAGGAAACAATTAGCAAGTTGCAAAACCAAATCGTTAATTCTGCCCACACCACAGAAACTGTTACCGAAAACTTAATTCCGGAACTGAGTTTTAACATGGAAGAACTTCAAAAGGCAATGAAAGATGTCAAAGTCAGTTCTGAACCATGAAAGCTCTCCATGAAGCTGCTCCAGCTCGACGGAAAAACTCCTTGAGCAAATTACCGCCGACAATTCGAAGCTGCGGTCACATCGAATGGATGGAATGCAGGAGAAAAGGCGGTAGCATTAAAACTGGCGTTGCGTGGAGATGCAACGAATATTTTGCAAACCCTCACGGCCCAAGAAGAGGAAGACTATGATCTTGAGCTACGGTCCGGGCAGGCCCATCTAGAGCACTTTACCATTCACAGCTGAAGAACCGCTGCCAGAAATCGCTACAGGATTTTGAAGCCGACATTGCTCCATTGGTTCGTCTGGCATATCCTGCTACACCGGGAAATGTAATGGTGCGGTTAGCAGTTCAGGCATTCTTGGACGGACTTCGCGACCAAGAAACGAGGCAGGCCTCAACACTAGCTCGTCCGAAACATCTCGTGTATGCACTGGCAAACGCTCTGGAGTTTAAGGGCAAAACAAACCCGCAAGAGCCAAACAAAGTTAGAACTTAGGGTGGCAGCATTGCCTAGAGCAAGACAGCTGCGCCCCTGGACGAAGCTCCTGTTCACTATGGGCAGGAGGAGTCCAGCCAAATGCGTTTTACTGAGAAGCGATGGCCATATAAATTAAAGAAGAAGCTAACTTCAGGGTGTCGGCTTTTCGTGACGGTACGCGCGCGCATCGCAAAAATTAACTCTCATCATTTTTCCCTCACGCGTCAAAAACAGTTTAACTTCAAAAATCCTTTCGAGTCAATTACTTTTACACCATAGAAATGAATTACACGAAAATAAAAGGCCCTTTCGAAACAACTACTTTCATATTAACAATGAATTACATAAAAACGCCAATTCTAATTCAATGTTCGTATGAAAGTAGTTGTTGCGACAAAGTTTTTCTTTCAGTTTGAACACGAAAGAAACTTCTGTGCATAATTTAAACATCTTTGTTAAGACCTTTCTTTTATTGTAGTTATTTGCTTTGTTCTTTTCTTTGAAAATTGGAAAAAATCTAATGATTTCTTCGCTGGTACACTTTATTTACAAACGTCTTCGACAGATGTAAAAGGTGTTTAATTTCTTTTGAGAATATTTTTATTATATTTATGACAATCAATTACTTGAGTTATGTCATGAAAACAAATGCCACAGCTACCTGCTGTTATAACAGTTGCGGCAAATTATTATTTCCATTATTGGCAATGAAATACTTAGTATGACTACAAATGGGTGGTGAGCTTCAAATTTAGTCACTGCTATAATTTCTTTCTGTTTTCACAGTTGTTACATAACTTGAAATTACTTACACCTACTGGTAATTCATTATAAATCTGGAAATCTTTTGGTAGTATTTGACAATGCTGGTATTCCATGATCAACAGATAATCTTTGATTACGAATATAAAAAAACAAGTAGATAAAAGTTATGGAGTGTAATGACCTTGAAATTATCTCAATTACTTTGTTTTTTCCATGCCAATTTATGATTTTTCAGATATACCTATCAAGTAAATTATAACAAATATATCAAAGATAACTTCACTTTTTAGAAATATTTATTTTTTGGAAATAGTGTCCTTTAAGCAGTGTTCTTTATAGTATCAAGTGAATGGAGCATAGGATAAAAACAATCCATGTGTATTCTCTTTAGTCCTAGTATTTCTAATTGCTTAATCCAAAGAAATAATAAAAATTGCACAAAAGTCAGTGGCGTACATTATCAAGTAAAAAATATTCGTTCAAATCCCGCTCGAGACGCCACTGGACTTAATAAATTAAATCACGTTCGGGCTAAATTTTTATTTTTATTTGAACACCCTGTATCTTAAGAACGAAAGATTTGCGAACCCATGTTTATATGAACATTTCTTCTTAAAATTACCTGAAGAATCGTCTGTTAAATTTATGGTACATACTTAATCAATACCCTGTATATCTACGGATAATTCTAGTATACTTATGAGACTCGACACAAATGCTCAAAAATTTATTTTTGCCGTCCGAAAAAAACAAATGTACGTATCTGCCTCACACAGTATGGGAGTGAACTGAAGTGACATTAGGATGGAGATATTGGTCTCGCAATCCTTCGATTTTGTTCGATAAACTCTTTCGTTCGTTCAATTTTCCAATATGGCCGCTGTGACAACCAACCCGTGAGACAACCATACCCGGTCTCCCCTATGGGCATTTATTCGTGTACAAATATTTTAAAGAGGCTTTGTCTGACTTATTGTTCGATTAACGGAAAAACATGGTTGAATTCACATAAAAGTTCTTATCGAATTTAGATTTGGCATGATTAAAGCAATATCTGACATTAAAGGGCTTTATGGCGAACAATCATACTTGAATAAGATGTGACTAGGTAGGTATGCTTGAATTTCATCAAACGTATCAATCAATGGAATCATGGTTCCTTCATCGTAGAACTAGAAGAATGAATATCAGTGTATACTCGAACAATTAAAATCAAGAAAAAGCCGTTTAGGTGAAATCCGTAACCAATTACGATCCTTGTCTGGAGAGCTATTCAAAATACACTTCTCTTCAGATATAAGAATACCAGGGTAATTCAAATTCGACCCTGACCATTGGGATCTCCTAAACTACAGGAGATATGCTTAAATTGGGACAAAGTTGCGTTTTTTGTGCTTAACAAAATACTGTTTCGAAACTTGAAAAATTCCGAATATTTCCGGAAATATTCGGAAAAAACTGAAAATCGGAATTTTCGTTTTTATTTTTTTCTAGCGTTATTTGACAACATTGTCAAATCATTGTTTCAGAAGTTATTCAAGGTGGCTCGTTTTCAACTCAAATAATTTGTAGCTCCCGAACCATAAGCTTCAGACCATATGTTTTATACTTTGTTGATCTCTGCTCATCATGGAGCATCTGATAATGCAAAACATTACAGTGACGGCTCGTGCATTGGAGAACAGGGGAGGCTTGAGTCATATAGACTATATACACACAGAAAAGCCCGCCGGAAGCGCGAAAATTTGTATGTTGTTGCACGCTTTGCTTAATACTAAAGTTAGGCCATGAGCATGACAATGAGTAAAAAGTGCATGAGGAGCTATGGACTTTATTTTAGTTTGTGAACCATTTAAATGGCCTGCCATGACCGCAGCTCCATCATAGGTTTGCGCAATTAACTTTTGCCTAAAATTATAGGTGTCACACGTACGAATTAAAAAATTAAACAAATTGACAGCTGTGTGCTCAGATGCATCATGAAAACCCACACCACATTACCATCTTTGACATATCTAAAAACGATTGAAAGTTGTGATGTACAGGTAATATCGATAGTTTCATTAATTTCCCAGGCAAAAAAAGAAACACTTTCCCACACAGCACTAGATATTCATGGAATATTCCCTGTATATCATAAAACGAACGTAAATATTCCAAATATTCATAGAATATTCTTGGAATATATACATGCCTTTAGAATATTCATAGAATATGCTTTAATGAATATGGCAGGATTATTCCCGAAAGAATGTGCATAGAATGTCTATAAATGGATTATAAGCCTCAAATTTTATGGGGAGACTAAGCCTCCCTTGACCCCTCTGACGAGCCGCCGCTGCAAAACAATATAGGGTGATCCATTAAAAAAAATGGTGACATGCTCTGAGGGTGCCATAGGGGAAGTAACAGCTAATGTGAATATGTCAAAATGTATCCTCCTGTATACTATTGGTGATGTGTTTTTTTATTTGTCCTGAAAATCATTGTACCAGAAGTTAATCAGGGTAGCTCGTTTCAAATGGAATGTACTGTATATATTTCGAATTTTTGAAGTTCTTTCGAATATATCCATATCATCCTATGTTGTATACAGGGTGTAACATAAGTACGTTAAAATATTCAATTGACGTATTCCTGAGACAATTTTAAGAAAAAAGTCTATATGAACTTGTGTCCAAAAATGCTTCGTTTCGGAGATACGGGGTGTTGAAATTAAATTTATTCATATATACTTTTTTTCTTGAGATTGTCTTAGGTATACGTCACTTGAATACTTTAACGTACTTATGTTACACCCTGTACATATAATTCATAAACCGATAATTCATTTCGATAATAGAGGCCTGAAACTGTAACATTCGTTAAAATTAATGCGGGCCTTCTGTATTTTTCAATATCATTTAGGATGTGTAATTTCAATATATTTTTTTGACTGATAAGATATGAGAGGTGTATTTATTGAATTGTGCACTTCATTTTCATCATAAATATCTCACTTTTGTTGCACCTGGTAAAATGAAAAGGTTTGTGGTATTGTTGATTACTGTCGCATTTTGTAAGTATATTGAATTATATTATAGTACCTAAAATAGATATTTTATCGACAATGAAAGATTGTAGCTCTCACCAAAAGGATAAATATGCTTATTGAATGTCTTGTTTTTCAAGAATTAGATTGCATGTACGAGATTTCGGAGTTAACGGTCTGCTTCCAATTTTGAAGAGATAATCACAAAAAAAATTGTTCATAATGCACATAGAATAAATTAACAGAGCATATTCCATAGGACCTACAAAAGGTTAAAATGGGGTCTTTGTCAAACAGTTGTAAGTTCGTTGAAACGGATTAACGGGTCTTACTTTTCAACTTGAATTTATTAGCAGTGAACACCAATAGTGCCAGAGTGGGGGATAAAACAACTTCTACAAAAACACTCATTTTATAAGTAGGACCCATATTAACTATGCGGCTACCGTCTAACATATGGATTTTATGTTCGTAATATTCTTGACTGATATACAAGTATTGATTTGAAACCTTCAACGAACGATGTTTTATGCATTTAAACTGATTTTACATTTGGAATTTCCCTATCAGATGTACAGGGGCTATTATATTGGGTGACAACGGCTGGAACATGTTTTTATAACCTCCAAAATTCATTCCCTTCAAATGAATGAAATCCCCTTCAACTTTTGCGCGGCATTTTCAAAATTCTTATCGATTAAAATTAGTCTTCACTGGTTTTGAAGTTTTATCAATATCAATGGTACTTTTTTTCAAAATTTTCAGTTGTACTGAAAATTTTTTTTGCTCTGTTTTTAATACTCGCAAGATGATTTGATGTGTATGTAGTGTGTGCTTTCCTTCTTTCCATTTGTATCAAAATGATCTGACGACTTTTTTGATATTACATCAAGGAAAGCAAGTTGATCATCTTGTCATATCTTTATTGTGAACTTTTTTGTCGGTTCTTATTCCTAGTTGTAACAGATACAAAGACTCTAACATAGAAGTTCCATCAGAAGCGTTGAATTTTCAAGTTTACTCATGGGATGGTATTTTGCAGAAAAGTGTTACCATTTGCTGATGCCGATTTCATAATTTCTAAAAGGTCTTGTGACAAATTAACGAATGGACAGTTTAAAAAAAATATTTCCAACAATATTTCACTAATCACAAACTAATTTATTTACAACACTAAACAATTAACACCTTATTTATTTCCACTATTTGAATTTCTTGTTTAGCTGCTCGATTCATTTTCTGAACTGCCCCCTTGGGTCGGAAAGCCGAGCTAATATAATGATATATAGAAATCTGTAATCGGTTCGGTACTCTATTAGAGTTTTACCGGCGGTTGCCGACTGTATTCTTTCGCGGTAATGTCATGTGTTTGTTCGATGGCCGGCATATCTGTCAGGGGCGGCTTCGGATTCGTTACATTGCCTCCTTCTTGAAGACGTTTCGCCCCGAAATGTCATCCTTGGCGTGTGTCAATGGAAGTATCTCCACAGTCTTCATGCTCGTTTATGGAAGATTGTTACCGCACACCAAAATCTTGATGCCGCTGGATCTGAATATCGTTTCCAACATGCTTCTCACAATTCTGCAATCCAGCCTGTCAAGCCCAGAGGCTAATTTTGGGATTGCCAAGTCCACGAGATTCTGGTCGAGCATCGTCTCCTTCAGTCTGGTAAGACTCCTCCAGACATCTTCATAGGACAGTTTGTCTCGAGAATGCTTTTTGACCACCAAGTAGAAAATGTTTCTCTGACCCTTCTTCAACTGTAGCACTCCTCCGACTTCTGGATTCTGTTCTCGTAGTGTTAGGAGCCGAATTCCTTGTTGAATACCAGAGCGATACCTCTGGATATTTGGAGATCCTCTGCCACGCAGTGAGCTAGTGCGTAATCAACTGGAACGTTGAAAAGGTCTCGTGGCTCTTCTTGAGTTACCCCATGTATGACATTCTGTCAGTTCGAGTATAAAGACATGAACTACTGGAACTTCATTTCATCCTCTGATGGTCTAGGGTGCGAATTTGGACGTGATTTCCTGCATAAGGAGTCAATCTATTAAAATGGACGACCCTAGGCTTTCCTTGAGGTGGCTTATGGATTCGGTAGAAGAGGTCAATTATCTTCTTCATGATTTTATACGGACCTTCCCACGAGTTCCGCAACTTCGATGATAAACCACGGCGTCGCTTAGGGTTGTACAGCCAAACTAGGTCACCGGTTTCGAATCCTCCAGTATTCGCCTTGATGTCATAAGCTTTCTTCATCCTATCGCTGGCACTCCGGATGTTTAGACGGACTCTTTCATGGATGTCGTCCATTCTCTGCCGAAGCTTGTTGACATAGTCTTCCCCCGCAGTGTCTTGTCCTGGCGGCGTCCCAAATTTCAGATCGCAAGCTCTCGGCCCATTATAATACTGGCAGGGGTTTGGCCGGTTGACTCGTGCACTGGCAAATGATAGGCCAACAGGAACAGGTGAAGGTACTGGTCCCAGTCTCTTTCGTGGTCTGATACTACCTTGGACAAGTGGCGGTTTATGGTCTTATTCATCCGTGCCACCATTCCATCAGATTTGGATGTAAGGCTGTGGTTCTGGACTTTGGAATGTACAACAGTTTACACAGGTTGGACTCGAAATTTCTGCCCTGGTCCGAATGCAGCTCCAATGGGATACCGAATCGACATATCTATTCCTCTACCAAGACGTCAGCGACGGTAAAGGCTTCCTGATTGGGCAGGGCATAGGCTTTGTCGACTTTCTGAAGTAGTCCTTGGCTTCCAAAATGTATTTGTTCCCATGGTCGGACTCTGGGAACGGTTAGGCGATGTCGATGGCGATTCTCTCAATGAGACTACCCACGTTATACTGGCGCATTGTAGCTTTCGGTCGTATCCGAGATCCGTTACTGGCAGCACTTTCTGCACCAGTCCTTGACGTTGGCTTAACAATTGAATCAGTAAAACCGTTGTCTCACTTTCTGGAGGGTCTCCGTTACTCCCAGATGTCCTCCAGTGACTCCATCATGGATTTCTTTGGGCACCTCAAGTCGTCTGTTCCTGGGTACCACTGCCTGGCGCTTTTCTTCTCTATCGTCTTCAGACTCCAATGCCCGCTTCAGAACCCCGTTTTCCAAAGTAAGGTCGTTCCATTGGACCCAGTAGGACTTAACCGCTAGCGAATAAACTGCTCCCTTCTGCCGCGATGGTCTTTGATTAATTTTCCTCCAACCGATGACTAAACCAAGATCTGGGTCTTTCTCCTGGTCTTCTTTGATCTTATTGTCCTCCCAATTATCGTCTACAGCAGTGAATGATAAACGTGCTCTAGGTGGGCCTGCCCATACTGTAGCTCAAGATGCTTTATAAGTTGGTCATAGTCTCCTGTTTCTGGGCCGTGAGGGTTTTCAAAATATTCGTTGCTTCTGCACGCAACGCCAATACGTTTATGCTACCGCCTTTTCCCTGCATTCCATCCATTCGCTCTTGCTACAGCTTTGAATTGTCGGTGGTGATTTGCACAAGGAGTTTTTCTGTCGAACTGGGGCGGCTTCATGGAGAGCTTTCCTTATTCAGAACTGACTTTGACATCTTGTATTGCCTTTTGAAGTTCTTCCATGTTGAAACTCGGTTCCGGAACTGAGTTTTCGGTAACAGCTTCTGTGGTGTGGGCAGAATTAACGATTTGGTTATGGAACTTTTCTAATTGTTTCCTTCCTCTTGCTGATTTCTGCCTCTAATCCGCTTTTGATTTCATCGCCTTTTTTTCATTCTCTTCACTTCTGCCCCGATTTCATCTTTGATCTCCCCTTTGATTTCCTCTACTTCCGTTTTCACTTCCTTCCTGATTTTGTCTTTCTGTCTCGATGGTTCCTATCCTTTCTTCGAGTAGACTCGCCACACAACAAAGTTCTTTCTTTGATATATGATGGAATCGGCCGATACTTGATGAAAATCAAAAGTATTCAAATTGATGATTCAAATGTTGGGTTATAATTCACAAAAGAACAACAGATTAATTCACATATTGGCAACAGAGCCTATATCAAGTTGAAATAATTTATGCGTACCTAGATATTCTACTTTAAAAAAGGAAAATTATCTTTATAAATTAGCTATAACCGATGTTGCCAAATGGTGAAATAGAAACAAATACCTTTAAATGTTGAATGCATTATTTCATTCCTCTTTTTTAGTATTTAAATAATTTTTTAAAGAAAAAGGTTCAAATGATAAGTTTAAAATGCGTTGTTTTAGAGCTCTTTTATGAAAACTAGGGGAGAGTGTTCCACAATCAGACACAAAATAGGTTTTGCTAAATATTAATCTTATTTATTGAGCAAACGAAAATATGATTGTCACTAATACAAATTAAGGCTGTGCATAAGGTTCTATGGTAGAACATACATCATTAACAAAAAAAATAATTCACAAAAAGTTTGTTTAAAAATGAAAGGACAGTTGTCTGATTGTGGAACATACTGATTGTGGTTTTGGTAACACCATCTTAATGTTTTCCAAGCATACCAAAAGAGACGTCTTCTATTTCGGGGTAAATGAAGCTGTTATCATACTTAACGGACTTTCTCAGAAATTCAACCTCACATTTCTTATCTCTTTTACATAATACTTCAGCTATGTAATAATTTTTTTCTTTTTGTTTTTGTCTATAAATTCTATCAAAATAAAATCGGCAACTTTTGGATCTTTATTCTACTTGTCTAGAAGAGGTGGTGGATCGATTTCTCCTACAAAATCAATATCATCATCAGAATCTTCAGTTACAAGCATCGCCGCGCTCTCATTTTCTTCGCCTGTTGAGTCTTCATCGAATCCTACTTTTCTTTTCATGATATTTTTCTTCTTCAAGCTTTTTTTTTTCTCTCTCTCTATCTGTTTAGTTTCCAGGGCGATCTTTTCTGGAGTGTCGGTGGCGATAATACTTTTAGCTTTTTCTCTCTTCTTTCTCTGATTCTATGGTTCTTCAGCTTTTGGGTATCCTTTGAATTCTTGCGGACTTACGAAAGTTTCTGTGTTTTGATTTTGTGTGGGAGTTGTGTAAATTAACTGATGCTGAAAGTAAGGAGACTGACATATTTTCATTTTAGCTGGGGTCATCGATTTTTCCAATGCATTATTAACACAGCCAGCTATATCAAAAATAGAAACGGGTATCCCAGGGTGTTCTAAAAGCAATGTTTGTAAGACAGTATTGTCGAATGATTTGAAAGAAAAAAACACTTTGCTAAATTCATTCCTTCTATCGTCAGATGACTCTCGTGATTGTCAAAAATCAGGAGGGAAGGGTTTTCTTTTGTGCTGGACGTATGTTCAATGAAGTGTCTCACAACGCTTGGAAACAACTCACATGTCATCCATCCAGAGTCGGAAACCCAAAGTACCATACGGTGCTCCATAAGTCACTTTTTTAACGGCACGACGCTGTCTGATTGTGGGACACAGATGCTGTCTGAAGGTGGAACTTAAACTGTAATACAACAATAAATTCAACTGTGAACTCCATACATAACCTACAGAAGTAAACTCCCTCATAAAATGTCAACAACATAGCCCAAAATCTGATCAACAGATTGTTTTTGTACTACTAGTTCCAAAAAAAATTAGGGTTTATAATATCAAATCAAGGATAGAAAAAGCTTACCAAGGAAAACAAGTTTTTTGGTGAAAAATGCTAAAATCCAAAGGAATAGCGTTACAACTTTGTTTACCAAAACTGGGTGTGTAACCCTACTATCCGAACGAAAAACATCGAACTCGCGGCTGGAATTTCAAAATTACATACTTTGTCTGATTGTGGAACATGTCTGATCATGGAACATTCTCCCCTACTTGATTTTCGTCAGGAGGAACATTTCCCATTCTCTGGGAAAGACACCACTCACTATTCCCACAATGCCGGAAATTACTTTTCGACAATGTCTAGTTAGGCGAATTTTGAAACAGCTCAACATCAACAAGGCGTCTGGACCTGTGAAAAACGCTTTGGAGCGAGCCAATCCCGGAAGATTCTGCCAGAAGTCCATAAATCTTCTTGCCATCCAGGTGTTCAATCTTTGTTTGGCGAAACCTAAAACGATGACAATGACAGGTTCTGGTCCGATGAAGCTGTTTGCAGCACCTTCCATTGCAAGGGAGTCAGCAGCCTAATTGCCTTCCAGGCCAGTATGGCTAGGAATCCAGACAAGAGACAATCGTGTCAAGTCTTCCTATTGAGGAGAGTCGTTTTTGGCAATTTGCTACCAATTTAAACGTTGCCCGGTAGGAGCCAAGAGCTTCCAATGCCGCTTGACTGTCCGACAATATTTTTATAGACTAGTGTGTGAGGTTGGATTCTTCCAATCTCTTGAAATACAGTCGCATAGGTTCCTAGGCACGTTGATATCTCTGTCCTGGGTCTGCGACTGAAAACACCTGCACCACAACCGAAAGGTGTTTTCCTTCCTTCTCCCGGAGGATCCAGTACTTTATAGGGCAGTTCGTAGCTGACAGTTGGAGGCATAAAGTCAGAGGTCATTCCCAGAAGGATCTAGAAGGATTTCCATGGCCGTTGAAGATGTGGTATTGATGGCACCAATGATGGCCAGACAAGCCTGTCTCTGTAAGCCAGAGAGTTTCACCTGGGCCATTTTCTGAGGAGTCTCAACGATTTTCAGTAATATATTATTTATACAATTCCGTTGATTATTTTCTCACTTCCTCCTGAACCCGACACTCGGTCAACTCAAAAATATGTGTGTTTGAGAATAACCATGCTGTCTATGAAGGCAGTAAGCTGATTAGAATTCAATTTTATCTCTTAGAAAGTTTTTCTAATGATATTTTCTATTTTTCAGTTGATGCATCAACTGGAGAACCTTCTCCCGAGATCATTCCCGTGGAAGGTGGTTTATCTGGTGATGGTATAACGACCAGATACTGGGATTGCTGCAAACCATCCTGTGGATGGACTGATCTTGTAAATAATACCCGATTTAAGACCCCCGTACATACTTGTGCCATTGACGGTATCGAGATAATCGACCCACAGCAACAATCGGGTTGTGCAGATGTTGGTGCGGCTTATACTTGTAGCAATCAACAACCGTTCGTAGTAAATTCTACTCTGGCATATGGATTTTCAGCAGTATCCTTCACCGGTGGAGAAGATTACCATATGTGTTGCTCTTGTATGTTACTCAACTTCCAAGGACAACTCTCGGGAAAAAAGATGTTAGTTCAAATAACCAATACTGGGAGTCCATTAGCAGTTAATCAGTTTGATATAGAACTCCCAGGAGGAGGGGTAGGAATTTACCCTCATGGATGCATGAAACAATGGAATGCTTCCGAAACCGGATGGGGCGATACTTTTGGAGGTGTACATTCGGATGCGGAATGTAGCGAACTGCCTGCTGTACTGCAACCTGGATGTCATTTTCGTTTTCAATTCATGGAAGGTGTATCAAATCCTCCAGTAACTTTCCAACAGGTTCAATGCCCTCGAGAACTAGTTGCAATAACAGGTTGCGAGTATTAAGTAATTTATCATTGTTTATTTTCAATAAATATTAGATAATTTTTCAGCAAATTTCATTTTTTAGATCATTTTATTCGACAGCAAAATATATCTTAAGGACAATACGAGCAGTTAATAGTAATATCCAATAGTGGTTTGCAAAATCGATTAGAGATGAAGTAGAAGTGGTAATTTGAGTTGCTATAAAACTAGGTAACCTCAAGAACACATTTTATTGGACTGTTGTTAAAGTTGTATCTGTAAAATAAGCGATTTTCATTTTGTAAAAAATGTAGAGTTACTTCCTTCCTTTCTTTGGAAGACTACCTCATTCTTCTTTTTTTTGTATCAAGATGGAGTAGTACAAAGCCAAAAACTTTCTTTCCCAAAAATTAATCACTTAAAATATTACCCCTTCAATTCAAATAACACAAATATTTCGATATAATTCTCTTCAAGTATTTATCAATAACTTCCGTGTTATTTCTGGTGAGAAGAAGAGTCATTGAAATACACGTGAGAACTACCATGGAAATGCACATTTTGAATGAATTTTGTATAAAAAACCTACATGGTTNCGTGAGAACTACCATGGAAATGCACATTTTGAATGAATTTTGTATAAAAAACCTAAATGGTTAATTACTGCTTTTTCGGAAATTGAAAACTAATATAACTTTTTCCATTCGAATTGTAATTGTATGATATCTTCTTCAATAGAAAAAAATTGAAGTGCAAAAACAGATAATTGAGTCCAACCAATATATTGAATTACCCATTGTAGGTGCCCTCATCTTATCGTGATGATGAGGTTTGCGACTTCATGAAATCGAGAGCTACGGCAGCGGTAGCTCAGCTACTGAAAAAACCTCCAAAGTCGAAAGAGTCGAAGAAGAAAAGTCATTTGAAGAAAATTACCTCTTCCTTTCACACTGGATGTTACAAGAAGTTCGCGGTAGCACTTGTCTGTTATGAGACATCTGACAAATTGGCTTACAAGTCATCACCCACGGAACCTCTGGTATACAAGGCAACATATAAGCGAATAGACAACCATTTTCTACATACCTGCGGAAATCTAATGGATCACGAAAACACGAAAACAGAATGACTCTTCTAGCGAACCCTATGAATCAGATATAAAAGTAAATAGGAAAGTAGTGAAGCTGTTAGAATCCATCAGTGAAAGTGTGCTGCTTTACACTCAAGTGAAACTTCAAAATTCTATTTGGTCTGAATTTCCGATGATGAAAAAGACTTAAATGGCAAATGAAAATATTGACATCTGGTTATTTTAGCTCTCATACAAGGACCCAGAGATTACAGAAAACATTTCATAAGATTGGGAGAAATTCGGAGGGAGTTAAATAATAATGAAACTCCAGATGATGAGAGGAGTTGCTGTTGTGAAAACTACTAGAAGACAGCATCTATAGTAAAATTATGTATTGCATAATTGCTGTCTGGAAATCCCCAAAGTATTTTCATGAAAGTGGAAATGTACTGTTTTGGCAGAATATGTATCAATTAGAATTTTGTGCTCTGTAGTGAAATAGTGATTTTGGTTTACGGTACTCAAATTATTTTCCATTTCACCCACAATATTTTCGTGGATGGAAGGCACTAACGAGACGATATAAATTGATTGGCACTATGCCAATTTTTGTTTTGAATAAAACACAACAACCCTAACTCTACTTGTTTCCTGTGACAAAGGTGCTATTATACTCATGTATTTGCCATCCTCCTTTCTGATTATCAAGAGGAAGTTGAAAATGTATTTCACTGTACCACTTTTTATATAAGTTGTCTTTTCTTCAAACTAATTGAGTCAGTCAACCGACAATTCTACTCAGTTTTCAAATATATTTTGCAATCTCAGTATGTTAATTGAGCACTAAACGTAATTCACTAAACTCAATGAGAATTTATCCTACTTATTCCATTTTAGAAGTTTTTCATTTACTGAATAGGATATTTAGAGGTAAATGGTTCCATTTACCAATCCAAGTTGACCTCCTCGTTATTCATACCTTAAACTCGTTGATCATTTCATTTAATTTCATTTAATTTAATTCAGGAAACAATTAGATGCAAAGATTGGAAAACTGAAAATACTGAAACACTTCGATGATTTCTTTGTATTTGTTCAGATGTCAAAAATCGTTCATTTACTCATCAATTTCTTTTTTTCCTTTAAAGGAACCCCTCTAAGATATTACTACATACACATGTGCCAGTGTATTTTCCAATCATCGAAGCAGTTGTGATATAAACTTTTGGGTATATCCGTCTCCTCAATCATCCCTCAAATCACCCTTTTGTGTTGGGTGTCTTCAAAAATAGGAACAGGACAAAATAGCAGGGTGCCAAATCTGATGAATACGGTGGCTGAGGCATGATTACGGTGTTGTTTTTAGCCAAAAAATCAAGAACAAGCAATGACGAGTGGGTAGATGCATTATAGTGATGCAAACGTTTTTCCACAATACCAGACGTTTTCTCCTTATTGCTTTTCGCAAGTGGTGCATGAAACTTCATTGGGGCAATTGGATTTTGGTTTCGATATCATAAACCTATAGCCATGACTCGTCGCTAGGTATGTTTCTTTTAAGCAAATCTGGATCGCCATTGACATCCCTGACGTCACTCAACAATTCCGGAGTGATTTCCATAGGACGTATTTTTTTTCAATTCAGCAATTTTGGGACGAACTTCGCTGCCCTACGCTTCATGCCTGAAATATTCGAAAAAATTGTATGGCATGACCTAACCGATATACTGACATCCCCAGCAACCTCTCTAATGATGATTAGACCATCCTCCATAACAATTTCCCTCACTTTCTCAACATTTTCATCGGATATTGATGTGCAGGGACGTCCTGAGCGAGCATTGTCATTAACATCTTCTCGGCCTTCTGTGAATAGCTTATACCGCTTGTAAACATTTTTCTGACTCAGAGTACAATCACCGTAGGCCACTGGCAACATTCCGACTGTTTTTTAGCACTCAATCCAGTTTTTCACACAAAATTTGTAGCAAATTCTTTGTTACATTTTTTTCGATAGCAGAAAATCGTTGAACACGCAAAATTCCTCCAATTTTTATATCTCTCACCAACAAATGTTCTACACGAATATATCAACATAAAAAAATCGCTAATCAAATGTACGTAGTACGTGAAATTTGAACACTCACCCCATTTCAGTTAACAGTTATTCAAAGAAAAAATATATATGAATCCAATGCAGACAATCAGTTGGAGACAAATCGAACCAAAATGATTTGATCCTGATTACTGTAAATACTAATGTAATGAAAAAAAATAACAAATGAGTGTAGCTAAAATTTTCCCAAAAACTGTACAAATTTCAGCTTTGAATGGCATTTTTCTGTCATTTTAGAAAAAAAAAATTCTTCATACTCTAACGAATGTATTATTATATTTTCTGAACTGTCCTGTAAGTGCATCTGAAATGGTTATCAAACATGCATATGCGGTATTCAACTTTCGACAATTGTTAAAATATCCATTTGTTGGGAACTTACTGCGCCAAACTGTATTTAAATGAAATACTATTTTGGACCTGTCCTTTGAATGATCTCTTTTATGTGTATTCTCATGTTCTCTGCATTTTTTAGTGAAGTTAAAGTATTAGGTTCATCTTGGTGTTCTACTGTTAGTCCATTCAAATATATATGTCGACAATTGAAACCACTACTTATTGGAAAAAAGGTATGAAAAATTTTATGGAACACATAATGTAACAATCGATAACATCATTAGGTTAATTTTATGAGGTATCCTCATCGACCCCGCAGAACTTTTTTCAAATAACCTCTAGGATTTCTTCGTCCCCATACATCAGTATTTCCCATTTTGTTCGGTATTCCGTAATGTACCATACTCTAACATCAAATAAATATAAATTCCCAAATCGATGCTTCTCACAATCTTTCCTACGAGATTTTCCTGTTTCAATATATTGTAATATATTCCTACCTGTAACTGAGACGTCAAAAGTAATAGATCCAGGCGACGATTCCTTGAGACAATGTCGTGAATCACTTGGACCGGTATTGTCAGGAGATATTGCTGAACGGAAAAAAATGTTGGTATATTCAACTTTTGTTCAATTATTCACATATACATATACTTATTGTACAATGTGCATCATGGACTATAAAGGAATATTGCAGTAGCAATATGCTTCTGCATAACGGAAACGAATTTGTTTATAGATTCAATAATTCAGTTCTGATTGGGCGGAAAGAATTGAACAAAAGTATATAATTGAGAATTGAACACATTGAAGACAAAATGAAAAAAAAAATTTATAGTTTCTCATGCAAGATGAAAAATGAAACATTCTAAGTTCTTTTATCACTTTTATTTGTATCTAGCTTGTACTAGCTTGTACATTTCTCAAGATGATCTTCTACCACGTAGTAACGGCTTCATCCATCAATTTTATAGTTTTGTTTGTTCCAATGGAGACTGTTCCGTAGATAAACCCGTTTTGAATCAAATTTACAAATCAAAAATTGCTCAAACTGGCTCGGGTTCCTTCAACGTAGATTTTTTTTCAGTCGATATAAATATGAGTACCAAATTGAGTACAGTTTTTCGATTGTTCCAGTGTTGAAAATGGTACCATTAGAATCTGCGCCGATTTCGAAATAACTATGAACCATATTTATAAAATGTTCCATTTCTCTTCCAATTATCTATGAACGGCGATGAAGGTCCCATTCCAAGTAGCTCTCATAGTAGGTTTCACGGTATATGATATTGGCTGAATGATTATAATTGAACCAATTAGATTCATAAGTTGTAAAACATGAATCAAATAAAGGAAAAAGAATCACAATATTACACTACACAATGGGATCAAACTAGTTAGTTTATTGCAGTTCATAAGACAATATCATTCAAAGTGAACCATACGTGTTTCGCTATACAATAGCTATACAAACACGTGTCGTGGTTTTTGTAGAACCCTTCATAGTTTTAAAACAGGTAGTCAGTAACATATAAATGAGAAAATAAGACATTACTACTTATCAAC